ACACACACACACACACACACATACACACAAATAAAATAAATAAAAAACAAAATTGGAAGTCACACCTAATGTCAACACTTAAGAAGCAGAAGTAGGTGGAATTCAATGAATTCAAGGCCAGCCTGGTCTACATCGTGAGATCCCTGTCTCAAAAGAATTTTTCGGAAGTGTGGTTAATACTGAATAGATATTGTTTTAATACCATCAAAATAAATATGGATCAACATTCTGTCTGAAGCAGCCCTGGCTGCTCTAGAACTCTTTATAGACCAGGGGCCTCAAATTTGGAGTTATCCTCCTGTCTCTGTTTCCCAAGAACTGGATTGCAGGCGTGTGCCACCACACCTAGATAAAGTTGTTCTTTATATTTTTCATTCCATCCCACTAGTCATTGAGATATTCCGACACTCCAGGTGGTATTTGTGGTTTTTAAAAGTTGGGTGTCAGTCTCTACCATGCCCCAGCCATTAGTGTAAGCAATGATGTCCTTCCCCCGGCCATGCTCTGTAGAACCAGGCACACGTAAGCCTGCATGTAGGAAATGAGAGAGAACATCACTGGAGGCTATGGGTCATAGTGGACATCTTTTCCTTTTCCTCTTGCCCTCTTCTCAGTCTCCCCTCTCCCTTTTTACATTTATTTATTTTACATGTTTGAATGTTTTACCTGCATGTATACACACCATGTGCATGCCCGTTGCCTGAGAAGGTCAGAAGATCCCCTGAAGCTGGAACCGTTATGGATGGTTGTGAGCTACCATGTGGGTGCTGGGAACTGAACCCGGGTCCTCTGCAAGAGCAACTAATACTCAACCACTGAGTCATCTCTCCAGCCCCTTTGCAGATTCCCATGGATTTCTTTTCTTTTGGGTGTATGGATGTTTTGTCTGCGTGTATGTCTGTGTACCGTGTGCATGCCTGGTGCCAGAAGCCTGGAGATGGCCCTGGAATTGGAGCTCCAGCTGCCAGATGGGTACTGGAAATCAGACACAGATCCTCCCAAGTGCAGCCAGCACTCTTACTTCTCTCTGGCCCTGGAATAGTTGTTTCCGAGAACTGGATCCGTTGTCGAAGACATTTATTTCAACAGGTTTAAGTCAACATCATTCTATCTGTAAGGCTCTATTGGTAGACATGGCAAAAATGCCATGTCTTTCAATCAAAGGAAGTCTTCTGGCAAACCTGGGACAGTGAGTATCTGGGTTCCCATCTCTGCCCTGGGAGACCAAGGGACAGTGAGTGTCTGGACTCCTATCTCTGCCCTGGCAGACCAGGAGACAGTGGGTATCTATCTCTGCCTCCAGTCAGCCCTTTGACTTTGGACTGGTTATTTAACCTTCATTCTACTTCTTCATCTAGAGCAAAGGTCAGCAAAGTCACCAAAGGGTCAGACCATAAATTGTTAGGGCTGTATGGGTCATATGGTGTTTTGTCATAGCTAGTCACCTCTGCCCCCGTGGCATGAGAGCTGCCATCAGCAATGAAAAGCACATGTGCATGGCTGTGCGCCAAGAAAACTTCAGCCAGCCTTCCAGATATGATCCAGTGTCTGTAGCTGGCCAAACCTCGATCATATGATGCCCCCACCCCAACGAAAGAATGTGGAGGACATTATGGTTGACTGTTCAGTGTCTGCCAGACTCCAGCTGATAGCCTAAGTCCAATGAAGATGTTCCAGCCCCCGGACACACTTAAGCCTGTGCGTGAGGGATGTGGGAAAAGGATTAGCAGAGGCTTCTGGGAAGATAGCTTCCATACTGCCTTGGGAAGTTGGCCTCTCCCAAGACAGGCATGTGCAGGAAACTGACAGGGTTAGGAGGGGACTGGCTCTACCGTCAGCTTTGGACACTTGGATCACAAGGCTAGCAGAGAGGAATCTCCCCGGACCTCTTTTAATGTGAGCTAGAAAATCTTCTGCCTTCTCTTTATTAACTTGGAACTGGGTCACCTGTTATTTCAGCTAACAGCCTCCCTGGTGAAAACCATGTTGGAAGAGTAGTTCTGAGACCCGATGGGAAAGTGTGTGACTGTGGCATGCTAATTAAAAAGCCTGCCACTGAGATAATCAGCAGGCACCTCACCGCAGGGGCCATGCGCGCATGCCTCTGACATGCGTAAGTCTTTCATCTTCTTTTCCATAATTTTTTTTTAGTTGTAAATTCTTGGTTCTCTTTGCTTGAAATTCCCAAGTCATGTAAGAAATAACTTAGTGGGAAGAAAACAATGATTATTACTGGGAGGAAACAGCCTTGACCTAAAGGCCACCACAGGTCTGTTCCTTTCTCCCTCCTCTTTCCTCCCTCCCCCATCCCCAGGTTGGCCTCTAGCTCACAGTGAGACTCCTGTCTTTGCCTCCTGGGTGCTGGGGTTACAGGCATGAACCACCACATCCAGGTTTGACTACCAAATTTCTGTTTCTACATAGTCCGGCATAATGCCAGCTCTTTCAAGGTTCTTCTCACTGTACCCCATCGTGGGTGATATCCTGCAAGAGTGTGTTAGATCTGGCCAGACAGGAAGTCTGAGAGAAGAACAGGCCCAGGCTCATACCTTCATAATTACACTCCATCAAGAGCCAGCCAGGGTATCCTGAGCCCTACATGAACTCCTTCCTTGAGTATCGGCCCCACGTGGCGAGGTTCTGCCTCCTATGGAGCCCACCACACTAAGCACCAAACTCCCAACGCGTGAGCCCTTCAGGGACAAATCGGATCCAAGCCACAAAAGATTGAGGTTGCTTATTAAACGAAAAAGGTGAGATAAGCCAGGGCCGGTGACAAGGCTGAGGCAGGAGAATGGTTTCAAGTTTAGAGGCAGTCTGGGCCCTAGAACAAGTACCACGTTAGTGGGGTTATAACCCTGTCTTTTTTCTTTTTTAAGAAAAACAAAACCAATAAAACGTGTTAAGTATAAAATTAAAGTACATAGCCTCACCCCAAATATTTAACAGAAAAAAAAAACAGTATTTTTTTCCATTTCTTTTAAAATTTTCCATGATGACCTAGATCCACGGGCTTTAAATTTTTAAGCAAGGAAATAAATCTAGCATAATATGTCATAATCTGCATTTCTTGCAACCACGTTGGACAGGTCCTATAACCAGGGATGAAGAACAAATCACAGCTCCAGTTTAGTTTGTCAAAGTCTACGAGCTAATAGCACCCTGAGAATATGGGTGATTGAGTCAGCGATACCTGCCAGGGATCGTGACCTTTATCAATGATGTTTCCTACAAGTTTGGGCCACTTGTGTAAGGTTGTGTAATAAGGAAGTGAAGGGGTCCAGAGTTGCATCTGTGGCTGTGAGACTTCAAAGACATTTTAGAACGCTCAGCTCAGAGCCGAAGCTTTGAGAAGTAGGGAGCCTCCCGCGGGTCTTGTTTACAGAGCTCTGTCAGCTGCAGAACTCAGTTCAAGGGTTGGGCAGGGTGTGCGAATCTAGAGAGGCAGTGCTGACCCTTGAACAGGCCAAGTGACAAGCCACCCAGCCAGTGAGACTGCGGGAAGAGCTAGGATTAGGGCACAGGACTCGGGTCACCAGCTTTGGTCCCCAGAGAAGGGTGGTGCCAAGCTCCAGTTCAGCCAAGCCTGATTAACAACAGAGCGAGGACCCAGTGGAACCCTACCTCCTGACTCACATTTTCTCCTCTCCATTTTGCACATGTAAACCCCAAGTGCTCACCCCATCCGTTGTCACCCACGCTTGCCATGCAAGGACTAGGAAGCTCAAAGAAATCGTCCAGGCATCCGGCTAGGCACAGGAGAACAGGGTTTCTAACCAGGATACAAAAATAAACGTTTCCTCCTTTGGACTGATTTAGAGTCAGTGTTTTTCCACAGCAATGAGACCTGAACAACACAGCTTGGTATTAACCTTGTGTCCTGAGAACCTGAAGAGTTGTTTGACCAAGGCAAACAGGAATTTGCTTCTTTTTTGTATTGCTATGATCTCCCCTTTCGGTTTCTTTCTTTCTTTCTCTTTTTTCTAGATAGAGTCTCAGGTGGCCTGGACTGGCCTCAAACTCCCTACATCGTGAGAATAACCCTGAACTTCTGATCTCCCGTCTCTACCTCCTGGTGCTAACCTGATAGGCATGTGCACAGTTCCCGGTGTCGGTGTTTGAGGAGCAAACCCAGAAAGAACCTTGCCCACGCCCAGTCGGCACTCGACCAATGAAGCGTCCTCCATAACCCTTATCAGACAGTCTTCTGGTGGGTAAGTCAGGCCCATCTTTATTCCTCCTAAAATTACTTGTTTTTTTTTAAATATTTACTTATTTATTATGTATACAATATTCTGTCTGTGTGTATGCCTGCAGGCCAGAAGAGGGCACCAGACCCCATTACAGATGGTTGTGAGCCAACATGTGGTTGCTGGGAATTGAACTCAGGACCTCTGGAAGAGCAGGCAATGCTCTTAACCTCTGAGCCATCTCTCCAGCCCCTAAAATTACTTGTTAAGTAAGCAAGGGTGGAGGATTTCTAGCAGGGCAGACCTCCCTACAGACAACAGGACAGACCTACAGACATTTTCATGAAAAAAAATAATGTTCTATCTAATTTTTAATAACTTTTTATTTATTATGTATATGTGTGTGTGTGAGCCTGTGTGAGTTTATGTGCACCGCATTTGTGCAGAGCCCATGGAGACTAGGAGAGGGCTTTAGATCCCCTGGAAAGGGAGCTGCAGGTCTTTGAGAGCCACTACCTGGATGCTGGGAATCTAAGGGAAGTTCTCTGAAAGAGCAGTGAGCGCTTTTAACTAATGAGCCATTTCTCCATCCCCGAGATTTGTCTTTTATGTAGAGATACCCTGCACCAGTCCCTGCAAGCATTGCCTCCTTGCTTTGCACCTGGGAGCAGCACTTTGCAGTTGAGCAATCCTGCCCTAGGGCTGGTGAAACACTCCAGGGTAACCACCCAGCAGGCCCTCAGATTTCCTGTTTCCCAAGAGTGTGCAACAGGGCTGGCAGTTACAGCTCTTGCAGGGCTGATGATCCATGTGTCCTGAGTGCTTTCTGTCCACAGACTCCATGCAGATGGTGAAGCTGTTCCCACAGCAAATCTGCCACCAAAGGCATAGGACATCTTGGCAGGAGGCACTGGGGTGCCAAGGGAGAGTCTCCCCATGACCTTGGCCTCCAGCCAGCCCTTCCCCTCTACTGAATGAGGAAGGCATCTTCAGCCAGACTCTGCCAAGATTGATGGGGCTCAGGCTTTCTCAGCACTGGAACTTGGGGTGAAAGAAAGAAAGCAGACACATTTTAACAACTGGAACTAACTGGCTTTGGTGCTGTTTAATCATTGACAAGGGAGTGCCCCTTCCTGGAAGCTCCTGGCATTGCAGGAGACCAGCTGTCTGGAGTGTGTTTGCTGTGAGCATTCACTTTCTCGGGCAAGATCCTATCACTAACCAAGATTTCCACGGAATGAACAGTCCTTAGCAGACAAAACACAGAAGCAAGATGACCCCCCCAAACAATCAAAGAGACTCATGGGGCTGGCATGCAGTTAATCACTTTGCACAAATACGCAGAACTGGCCCCAGTGGGACCCAGAAGCAATGGATGCAGTTCCGGATTAGAGGTGCATGTGGCAAAAGGGGGTCCACGCAGGCAGGGCACAAAGGATCAAAACAGCCACTGTTGGTCTTGGCCTCCAGACTAGCCCACCTGCAGCCACTAGAGATGCCTTAGGGAGTCTGACCCACTTAAATCTGAGGGTGTAGCTCGGGGTGGACTACACCTAGTGTTCAGTACTGTCTGTATAATCCGGCTGTGGTGGCTCGTACCGATAAACCCAGCAACCTGTACCCTGGCTGGCTTCGAACTCCCTAATGGAGTTGAGAATGGCCTGAAACTCCTGATCTCCCTGCCTCTATTTCCTAAATGCTGGGATCCAAGCTGTGCCGCCACAGTCTGGTGTTCCCAAAGGGCCATCTCTGTCAGGACACCTCCCCACAGAAAGCCTCAGCTCAGAGTTCGCCCTCAGGCCACAGCTTTCCGGAGGCAGCAGCATCTTTAGGGGTCTGTTGTTGCCTCTGTGGTTTTCACTTTCCCGTGTACATCCTGGACTCTGTCACTGATCCCCAGTTTGATGTCACCTCTCACCCAGATATTCTGCTCTACTGGGATGTTTTTCTGAAGCTCCTAGTTAAATTTTCAGATTCCCGAGGACAGACAAACAGGGCCACCTGGGGCTTAGAACCCAGTTTACACAGAGCAAACCCCTCTCTTTTCCCAAAGCCCGCCTCATTCCTGCATTCACGTTCAGTCGATGTTCCGCAGCATTGGCGTTTATTTACCTTACTGGGCGTGTGTGTTCACACTTACAGCTCCTGTGCTGAGATCAGAGGGTGACTTGCAGGAGTCATATCTCACCTTCCACCACACAGGATTCAAACGTTCCTTCTCCTCAAAACTGTGTGTGAGTGTGTGTGTTTATCTCTTTATTTTGTGTGCATGCCTGCATGTGCACGTGCATGTGTGTGCATGTATAGAACACTGACAACCCTCGGGGATGCAGGAATAAAGTGCCAAGGCTAATGCTCACACTATATAAAATCATAACATCTCCCTTCCCATTTGTGTTTTCAATTACACGTGCTATGTTTTACATATAAAATGTTTTGACTGAGCAGTACCTGATCAAAAATTCTTGCACCAGCCCACAAGTGTTCTGCCACAGGACCCTCCTGTGTGTCTCCTATGTTTTGTTTTTATGACAGGGTCTGGTGTACTCCAGGCTAGCCCTCACTCACTATGTGC